ATTGATTTTTTTCTCATAGCTCATAAACGATAGCAAATAAATTTATAAAATATTTGAACGCTTACTCTATAAGCGATGCTCTAGCATGTGTGCTTAAAAGTCAAAAAATTTGACCACGCCTACCCACCATTATAGTGAATAAAAATTTAATTCTTTTTTCTATACCTTTATAAGGCCAAGAAACCAGCCTTAAAAAAATCTATAAGGAATCCAAATTCTTGGCCTTACATGCACGCAAACATCTCGCCCTGTTCGTCTGTCCATCTGACTATTTGCGTAACTTTGCAGTGTTTGTGGTAAACATTCTCCCGCTAGCGAAAATGAAGATATCGCCTAAAAATTTGCAAAAGAATTTAGAAAAACTTTGAAAAGGACACGCCTACAATGCCCACATGCCTCTACGAAAAAATTTTTTATTGTGAAAATAGACGAAATCAACTGCGCCTGCTTCATATTATAGAGCATAAGAATTTTGTTCTTTTACTTCTTTCTTTGGGGCTAAACGGCGATGATGAGTATAGAAGATTCGGTCCCGATTAAATTAAATTTTTCTTTTTTTTTATTCGCCTGAGTAGCCGAAGGGGAGGAATCTCGACTAGTAAGTCAATGGTCGTGGGTTCGAATCTCAAGTGCGGTAGAGTTTTTAATAAAAAGCCGATAGCCTTAGGTGCTAGTGCTTTTAAGAGTTTAGTCTTAGAATTTATTTCTCTGGCAAAATTAATAATAATAATAATAATAATAATAAATTTAATTTTCTTACTTGTTTGCCTTCTTTCCGTTATTAAATGTTATAAACATTTAAATTGATGCAAAAAAAAAAGTTCTTAGTGTTTTTTGTTTTTTTTTTTTATTTTCTTTGAATTTTCTTAAAACTCCAACACGTGCTTCTTACATTTCAAATAAATTTTATTATAGCAAATATATGCCATGCGGATCGGTAAACCATGTCTTGTTCGATTTATTCAAAATAAACTGAAACAAGGTATTCTCATAAGCATTTTTTTTTTTCAAGTTAACTTTACGTCATCAAGAGAGAGTTCTGTAGAGAATGAAACTGGTTGGTGAAAAGAAGATAATTAGCAAGAGGGCAGAGAAACATGTCTCGTTATCGCAACGCATAGCATTCCCCAGTTTAAATAGTGAGTTTACCGAAAAGATGAATGTGTCCTTTCGTACTTAGTGCACTGAGGGGCGGCGAGATAGGCAATAAAATAAGTAAGAACGGAACAAAGTCATACAAGGTCGATCATTAAAAAGGCGTACTTTTCATGAACATCCGAATATTGAAGAATGCGCTAAACCTCATATGACGTCATCACAGTTTAGCAAACTTAATTTAATAAAGCTAGAAATTATACAATCTCTCCATATTAGGGCTTAGAGCCATTATTCGTGTTCGGATATGAAAAATGAATCCATGTGAGCCGGATTTCTCATTGTTAATTTTTTTTTTTTTTTTTTTTGGTTATTTTATTGCTATGGATCAAGCTTTGTTACAAAATTTTCAAAACTAAAACTTTTTCTGAAGGCCTTTTACTCTTCGTGCGCATATGGAGTGAGGTCCAAAAAATAGATCCAAATATTACAAGTTCGATCCACTCAATTTTTATGTCAAATTACTATCATGAATAAACGTTCATCATAAAGCATTCACAATTAGGCTTCTCGGCATGGCTATGGTGGTGGTATCCAAAAAAAATAGACCACCGTGATCCACATTCGATTTCGGTGATTTCTTTCTCATTTTACTATTATGAACCTATGTAATTTTCACTATGAAATATTGAAAATTACATCTTTCTCTCATATAAAAATTCCGGTTTCGTAGGCGCGGTTATATTAAGGGAGGGGAGGAAATTCAAAAAATTATCCCAGTCGAACTAAATTTTTCATATCAATTCAGAATGACGATAAGGTTTTGTGTATTCCAAAAACTAAATTTCATCGAATTATATCAAGAATTGCGACACACAATTTACATGGACAGACATCAGATGAACAGAGAGGCATAAATTATCAATTGAAATTATGAAATTATTTCAGAATGGATCGGTATATATAATAAAAGGTGGGTCTGTTGTAAAGCCTTCTGCATGTTACATACGTTCGCACTTGTACCACAGGTGATGTAGGGTATAAAAAGAAAATTGTGATCTACCATGTGGCTGAATTTTTTTGAAACCCATACGCAAATTAATTAAATAATATCTCTCATCATTTTGAGCCTTGCCTGATATTCCAAGTTTCAGAATTTACACTCTGCACATCCGATTTTTATTATTAATTTAAAGAATATATAAATATTGCAAGAGAGTATTAACAAATAAATAAATGCAGATTGATTTAGATTCGATTTAAATTCAATAAAAAAAAAAAAAACTATTTAAAGTCAAATTTTACGTTATATGCTAAGTCTATTTCATGATATGAGATTTTTTTTTTTTCCAAAATATATGTAATACCTTCAGAGACCCTATAAATTATATATATATCCTTGATCAGCGTAAAATTCGGAGTTGATTTAGCCATGTTCGTCCGTCTATGTGTCTGTGTGTTATATCGATTTCAAATTTAATAGAAACATTGAAAGTTTCTGCACGCAGGCTGGTATTGAAAGTGAGCCAAATCGGTCGTAGCGGTATCGCGCGGTGGAGCGTAAATTGGACGCAACTTCATTTCATTTAACAACATTTTTTAGATTTTTACTCGTTCCTCGGAAATTATAACAATTAGAAGACTGAACTTTGCCACATTTACTTTACAAAGCACTCTACTCCTTACATGCAAAAAATGGAAAATATCCGCCATGCCCACACAATAAGTTAAAAGTGATTAAATTTTGTTTTTCTTTTTTTTCACATTTTTGATGCTTATTTATTATAAGGCAAACAAGACCGAATGTTTAAAATTGTTTTGTACACTCCTCAAATGAAGATGCATTATTGGCCTTAAAGTGGGTTAATTTTAAAATGAATATTAGTAGGCACCGCTATCACTTTCTTCTTAATAATACCATCGATATGGGTATCAAATAAAAGAACTTGAAGAGTAGAGTGCGAAAAACATAGCGGTGGGTATGCGAGATTCGGCTTCCGCCGAATATAACTTTCTGACTTGTTTTTCGTTGATATTCTTATGCCTTTCTTTCACATTTAAGATAATGATATATGAAACTTACACATGAAAGGAAACTCTCGGAGAATGAAGGTTAGTTAGTTAGTTAGTTATGGAAAATGTATCAAAGGATACCTTTTGAATTTTACAAATTACGACTATGTGTTCGTGCAGGATCGACTGGATACAAATCAGTTGCGTTAAGTGCGAGTTAGCAAATCTTTCGTTTCAGATCGCTGCCTTCTATTGTTTCGTTAATTTATTGTTTCACTTTTTCTTATTTATTTATTATTTTTTTTTTTTTAGAAAATTTTCAAGGTCATGCTTTTTTTCTTTTTTGTTTCTATTAACCAAGTGGATTTTTCACAAAATTTGAAAATGAATTATCCATTATTTAGTTATTATTTAATAATCGATGTTATCGGCTTTTCATAATGTATTTTAATTTACGGCTGCGAACACTTTAAAAGTTCAATTAAAATTAATTAAATAATATTAATTAATTAATTAATAATTAATGAAATAGAGAAAGAATTAATAAAAATATTTAATAATTTTTTTTTTTTTTTTGTTGCTCTTAAATTGTATTTGAAATATTTTTTAAACCGTGGCATTGGCTACGAAAAAATTATAATTCGCAGGTTTCCGAGTGCACTTATTAGTTGTACGTTAAAAATTAGGAACGGAACGACAAACATATGCAAAAAATTCAAATAAAATAAACATTTAATCGTCGTTGCATCTACGTTTTAGTTTGAAGAAAAAAAAAAAAAAACTGTTCGCCCCCCAAGCTTCGTTAATTTAATTTCAATTCAGAATCCGATGTTTAGGCGATCAGTTGAACGCACAAGTACTTATGCATATATTCTCATATTGTTTGTTTATTAATCCTATAACAATACACAATTGCCAGTAGTCGCAGTCTCAATCGCAGTCGCAGTCGCTGTCGTGTATTGAATGTTGGTAGAAAAAAAAAAAGCAATCGCTATGATTTTTATATGATTAAATGCTTGAGGTACTATTTAGCGCCTTTATATAGCGAAACATTGTATGCATGACATGAAGATAATCCGAACGCGTACACATTATTGCCGAATATAATCATCTGTGCAATGATGGGAAGCAGTTTTGTGTGTGGACATAGACATACATAAATATGAATTTACATATTATAAAGATGAGGTGGCCGGTTCAACAATATTCCTTTTTTACACGAAATAAAAAAGTAAAGGTATGAAGTACTTCTCTCTTAAATTAGTAGCCTTAAGGTTCCCACATATCATTTCTCAATTTTATAGGCGCATCTCTGATCTTTTCGAATTTGGGTTTTTTTTTTTTTTTGGTCTCAAAAAAAGCTCTCATTACATAAATCATTGCCTGTCATCTGTCAATGGAAAAAAGACAGCATTTGCACGTATGTATTAAATTGTTTCAGCTTAAAACATATCTACGTTATATATGCATGCATGCACATGTTACTATCATAGTAAATTGATTTTATCTCCATTGTTTTTATAAAGCGGATAGAAATTCTACATATAACTAGAACGAGAATTGATTACGATTTTTTTACTCAGATCCTGTCTTACATCTATCTAATGTTTAAATTGTTACTTTTGTAAATTCGACGATGCGAAAACACCTGAAATACAAATATTAATTGAACATTTGTGGCTACTTTAGACTTATCAATGCGAATGCTATCTCGTGCACTTTTCGTTACGTGGTTCCATCAAAAACACGGCATATTTGCTTTTGCTTTTTATTAATATGAAAAATATTCGCAACCTTCTACAAGTATGAGATCACTGCCACAAAGTATGCTATTAAATTTTATCAAATAAAAATATATTCGCTTTAAACTATTGCAATCTAAACAAAAGCCCTTATTTATCTTCTTCTTTTTTTTATTCATATTAAAAATTGAATATTTAGATTATATTCTTTAGTCTTATGCTGATAAATCAATTTGAGAAACTGTAAGAAAAAACCATGGGCCTTTAAAATTATATTCCTTTTTATTCTGAGCGCATCATTTTTTCTTTTTGACGCTGCAATTTTTTCTTAGATAATTTTTTTTTGGCCGGCTCATCTTCGGGAGCCTTCGAAACGACTTCTTCTTTCTCTGTTAAAATCACCTCAACATGGCACGGTGAAGACATATAGGGATTGATACGGCCATGAGCGCGATAGGTGCGACGACGTAGACATTGTGCCCGATTTACTTGTATGTGATCAACGACCAAACGATCCACCTCCAAACCTTTATAATCGGCATTAGCTTCGGCGTTACGAAGCAATTGCAATAAAAACTCTGCAGATTTCTTGGGCCAACGACCTTGCGTCGTTTTCCATTGCTTAGCTTGAGCGCAACGACCTACACCACCATTAAATCGACGAAATGGTACACATTCCTTTTTTTCAATGACTGCCTTTAGAAATCGTTGTGCGCGACGTAAAGGCATCCGCTTTATAGCTTGAGCGGTTTCATGCGTATTCTGCAAAATTGTTGAAAAACTTATTGATTAAATGGTTGATAAATTGCAAATTGTTGGTAAATTTTTTTGAAAAATACACTATGACACTACGTTTTCATTGTACCTCAGGACAGGTAATGCTTATAATTCTTAAAAGAAATTATAAACTGTTTTTCTGAGATCAAATCATTCTTTTAAGCATTCTTTGGAGTTTATTAAAGTTAGTCGTATTAACTCTTTAATAAACTTAAGGAAAATGCTATATAAATAATCGCAAACAAAAATATAAACGAATTCAAATGTTTGATAGGACAGGTAGTGCTGATGACTATAATATTGGTTTACCAGTACTGTTTACCTATCAAATAAATCTAATATAAGCATAATTATCTTAACATTGAATGGTGAGAAGGTATCGCTCAATGTTGAACGTAAATTATGCTCACAACGCATTAATTGTTATAAGTAGATACGATAAATAAATTTTCGCCAAAATTTGGACCATCATATAATGTAAATTCTTTATGACAAAACAATTGAATAATTTTTTTTTGACAGGATTGTAACCAAATTTAAGAAGATTACTAGTCTTTACGACTATGCACTCCGCTGATTGTTGGTCTATCAAACTTCATCCGCTTATAGAAGAAGCTCTTCATTCTGGCATTTTTGCAAAAGTAAATGAGTTTAAATTGAAACACAAACACTGATTGAAAATGCCATATATTGTTTATAGGTTGTTTTATAGGTTTTTGATAGTTACCTTAAAATGCACGCGTAGATTTGGCCCACGCGCTTTACAGGACTTGGTAGCGTTTTCTGGTTCCCTTGAATACCGACCCATTGTTATTTAATTTCTGTAGATCCATCACAGGAATCATATGATAGAAATAAGATAAAAAGAACAAATATTAGACTTCATTTTTGCTTTTCTAACATTTACACTTTAAATTTTTAAGTTATATGCATGAAACAACACTCTTTTAGAAACTCAAATGTAAATAAGAATTTAATCACATATAGTTTCACTACAAGTACCCTTGATGTTTTACAAATTTTATAATTTACAGAAAGTATCGTACCTTCTTGGTGGAGAATTAAACCGGAAAAGAGACAAATCGACAGCTGTCAACTTATAAATAGATTAGGCAGCACTTATAAAGAGGCCAGAGTTGTATGGCAAGCAAATGCTGTGACGTAATTTTTTTGGGTATTTTTTATATTATATAAATAACTCAGATAAACTTTTACATAAAAAAAAGTGCTTTAATTTGCATTTTTGTAAAATAATGGTAATGTTAAGAATGTTAACGAATATGATGTGGTAACCGACATCATTTTCGTATTTATACTTGCCAGTTATACAAGTTCTCCGTTGCAAACATTTCTGTTTTCCCCATTCACAGAAATTGTATTCTCTTCGCAGAGGCGCTGAGATACTTAAGTGTATTATAAATTCTGATCAGGCAACCCTACACATTTGTCTTGGAAAAGGCGGTAAAGCATGAAAAAAGGAGATTGAGTGTTTATATAAAACAGCTGTTTCGTTTGTGCACATTTGAAAACAAAATAATATTAATGAAAATGTCCTATATATTAAAACGTCGCCTTTAATTAAAGCGTAAAATATTTTAGAAGTTTAAAAATCTTAAATCTTTTGCAGTTTATTACACTAACAATTTATGAAAAAAATAAATAAAACGATATGGTTCCTTTAGTAAATATTTTGAGTAAGTCCTTGCAAGTTTTTATTTAAGTTCCTTAATTTACATTATAAAATATATATGATTAATTAAAGCTACCTTTTATTCGTCATTCGTCTTGTTTATCATTCAAAACTGTGCACAAATTTTCAACCCCTTAGAGTAATCAAATCAAAACTCATAAACAACAAAAAAGAAAAAAAAAATGAAGAGAAATAAAAAAAAAGCAGAACAGCCTGGTTTACCATAACGAAAGCTAAGCTAAAAATAACTAAAGTTCAGTTTGAAAAAGCTGGAGAATTTCTATAGCAATCGGCAATACGAATGAAACGTGTAAGAGGAGAGCACGTTTACATAAATATACACATGCACGTATATACATCTATATACAAACAAAACTGAAAAACTCACAATCGAACCAATACAGCACAACGTAATACAACAGGAGACTTGTAAAGATGGGTGAATGGATTTTTAGTACGTTTAACGTAAGCAACGAGAAAGGTTCAATAAGTGGATAAAAAAGAAAAATTCATTATCATACAGGAGGAAGGAAAGAAAAACTAATTCAGAATATTAAAGCCAGAAAGACGTAGCTTCATAAATATATATATTCAAGGAAAAGTTATAAGATTGGAGGTAAGCATACAATTATATACATGTATAATTATAATTTTTATCAATTTCCAAAAATTATTTTAAGTTTTCCTTTAAGCTTATAAAAAAAAAATCCAATTAGATTTCGTCATTTGCAATACAATTTCGAATTTTCTTTATCCTTGTTTTCCTGTGAATAAACATGTATATGTATTGAAAAGAGAGAATTTCACTGTCTCTCGTTTCGAACAATGCACGCTTCGAAGCGTTGTTTTGTGTGCAAACATTGTTCAGGCTTTAAGTCTGTATTGAAGTCACAGAGTGCAAGCGTATAAGTGCTAGCGTTTTTCCTCAACCCCATTGTCAAAGACACATATAAGGCTGCTTGCTTGTATTTATTTCGCTTAGTATGCGTATTGCCGCACACATCCCCCATTTTGCAGTTCTAAACTACGTTTAAATTTCAAAACTAATGATTCTTCTCTTCCTTTTTAACTCTTTTTTTTTTTTTTTAGTTTTTTTTCAAATATTTATGCTTAGAAACGCAAATGTATTTGTATTCTTAGCATATTATAGTAGTTTTTCCTCTAAGTCTGTATCAGACTCGTCATTACAGCTTATTGCGTTTATGCTGTGTGTGTATATATATATATATATATATATATATGTGTGTTAGTTGCTGTTGTATTGCTTTATTTTGGTTTCACCCCCTTTTATTTGGTTATACAACGCTCTCGCCAGAATAACGGTTTCAAAACTGTGTTTAAAACTCACATTAAATTCATGGCTTTCGCTCTCGCTCACGCTCTCTCGTTTTCTCCCTTTTTTTCTTTCAATTTATTCTCTTGGTTTATAATATTCTTTGAGTTACGATTTCTTTTTTTGTTTTTTTTTGTTTTTAATCTCTACTCTTATTTTCATTGCAATGAACGGCAGACTAAAGCTACGGCTATGTATGTATTTGTTCCCACGTACATTGTTGTCATTCGAATTTTGTCCTTAGCTTTTTCGGTTAATACATGGTAGTAGATACGCTTGTGAGCATTATTTACTCCTCATTTCAATTCGTGCTTGTTGTCTACGGTGTTCTACTTAATGTTTATACGATTGATTGAAGCTAATGAAATGATGATGTTTTCTCTGTTGCTTGTTGTTGTTATAAATTATTATTTTTATTTTCATTGTTATTATTATTATTATTATTATTATTAAGTTATTTATTATCGATTAGTTTTAGATTATTGAGCTTTCTCTTTAGTGTCTTTATAATTTGCAAGCAACGGCTGAGTGCTGTTTAATGGCAACATTAACATAGAGAGGATATAACAAAAATAATTGTATAAAATTAATATCTTACATCGATGAGAAAGTATTTAGAACAATTTTAGGAAAATAAGAACGATTTGGTAAATATTTGAACGGTGACTTAATTTCCTGGAATGCTAATACTCTAAAAATAAATATATTGGCAGAGTCTCATCTTAAGTTCAGTTACCTCGATGTTATATATCTAGCAGTGAATTATATCATGTAAAGAAAGAAGAAAGAAAAAATGATGTACAAATTATAGACAAAAATAGATGCTGAACTCAACTCGAGACTCTGCACTGGTTGTGCACTAAAAGAAAAAGAAAAAAAAAGTAAATAAGTAAATAAATAAAACCAACGCAAAGCCTTTGAAAAACTAAATTTCTAGGAAAGAGATAGGAAAAAAACAAAAAAAAAACAATGATCCGAGAAGAGAGAGTAAAAGTGTATTTTTACCTTTAAAACAAATGTACAATAATTCAGAGCAAATGAAAAAGCTAAACTCTTTGCATAGGATATTTAAACGGCTCTAGATATGAACGAGTGCGACGACGAGCATACGTTAATATACAAACATATATATATATATATATGTCGTAATTAAACATTGCGCGTATGCAAAGAGCTAGGGTAACGTACACATCTATACAAATATAAACGCAAACTTGGTATACAAATTGTACTCATAAGCATGTATAAAATTAGATTAAATGCTTGGAAATGAAAACATACTTAAAGAACGGCAGCCGCAGCAATAATCACAACAATAACGGCAGCATTAAGAAATTCTATACCCGTCGAGCGCAATGCACTGCGTTTTAAACACACGTCAGGAATTTAGTGAGAGCATTCGTCATTATCATGATCATTTTGATCGAGCGCATATAAATTACTTAAAGCTAACGTATACCGCAATAATATCCCTTTATGCATGTACATATATATATATATATGTATATATATATATATATATATATATAATATATAACATGTGTGTGTGTGTGTGTGTGTGTGTGTGTGTGTGTGTGTGTGTGTATGCGTGCGTGTTTATGTATGTGTATAGATTTTATTTTTAAAACAGCTTCTTCGTATCAATACACACAATTCCACGGGCGCACAGGCAACTAGCTATTTACACAATACAGCATCGATGCAATATTTTTTTTTTTAAGGTGTATTCGGCCGTGTTTTACTCGAGCAGTGTTTAAATTTTAAATAAGAGAAGAGCTACACAGACACATGAACACACACATGCACGCACACATACACACACGCAAACATAGAGAAACACGTAAACAGAAACATGACATGAAATTTTCTTTATTTGTGCCTTTCAAGTGTATTGCGCAATAATCCATCTTAATACTTACCTTCTCTTAGCTTGGTTGTTGTCATAAACAATATCATTTCATTTTCGCTTTTCCGAGCGTGATTCATGGATTTTGTTTACATATTGAAATTATAATTTTCTTTCCAAAAATAATTATTTCGATTTATCTTGTAACGCGTACAAAATTCTCTTTCATTCTTATACTTCTTTTCTAAGAAGAGATCCGGGTTAAATAAAAATGAACTGTGTAACTGTGTGTGACTGAGTCGTGTTGTTTAGAGTCATTTAGGCCGATTAGGACTAGGTGTATAAGGATTTAATCTTTTTTATATTTGCCAATTTACACAATAGTTGTAGTAGTTATTGAAAAGGGAAACAAGAAGAGATACTAAAATTAAATATGTTACATAAATGTGATCATTTTCCGCTGTAAATGTAATAAAGGATAGTAAATTTTTTTTTCAAATATTTTTCACTTGCCGGACTTTATTTAGTTAAAGCTTTATAGTTCGGTTCGAATCCGATTTTGATAGTGTTCTTCGGTGCGTTTAAAACTGACTCAGCAATATAATATTTTATATAGGCAGGAAATGTCTGTACTATATCCAAGGATTACAAATTGGAAAAATATTCTTTTTCTTCTTCTATTTACAACAAAAAAGTTAAAATAAATCTCATGTCATTCTTATTAGAACGAATGTTTGGAATATTAACAAAAAAAAAAAAAAAAAAATTGTTTTAATATCGTTTAATTTGTGCACACAAACACACACATACACACACACACAAACACATACATACCTATATATGCATACATATGCATATACATATATATGTATATATGTATATAATACATACTGAGACTCTGTACCGACTAAATAATGATGCTGTCTGTGCCGTCCGATAAATACAATGTTGTTGTTATTGTTGTTATTATTGTTGTTGGCATTATTGATGCCGCCAACTTGAGTTGGTTTTCGTAAATCAGTATCCATTCCGTCTTCAATACAGTTGGACTCACTAACGCGATCGTGTTTAGTTAATATCGTGTCTTTAAATGCGATTTTCCTCTTGCTTTTCTTTTTCCTCTTTCTCTGCGAGCGTGAAATTTAAAAATATCCAACAATTTCGACAAACAACAGAAATTGAATTGAATATTTTCAATACGTCGTACGTACCAGAGAATTCTTAAAATGTTTTTTCAGTGTGCAAAGCGAGAGAAACTCGTTTAAAAACCAAAAAACAAAAAAAAAAAAACAAAAAAAAAAAAAGCAAAAAAAAACAAAGAAATAAAAAACTTTTTAATTATATCTCGGATCCCGAGATCTATATAAGACGCAATATCGTTTCTTATTGCCATCCAACTGTCAACAACAAAAGTGGTAAAATAGAAACGTTGCAGTAAAGTGCAGTTATTCCAATTCGTTTCGAGACTAATAATTCTTGTTAGTCCAATATTATCGCTGTCGCCATCGCTATCACCATCATCACTGCCATCATTATGACCACTACCAGCACGACCACCATCACCGTCACCATCGCCACCACCATCACCATCACCATCACCGTCACTATCACCGCCACCACCGCTTCTTTAATTTTTCTTGCCTACATGCATACGGCTTTGAAAACTCTTTTGCTTCTTTTGCCTATTCGTTGACTATCAATGCATTGCGTACTGAACTTGCTCTCTCTCAACTATTATTTATTGCCTTTTTTTTTTAAATTGTATATGTAAACATGCTTATATATATATATATATATATATGTATGTGCACATAAGTAAATATTTTGGCTTCTATTTCATGTTATATATTTTTTATCTTTTTTTTTTTTTTTTTTTTTTTTTTTTTTTTTTTTTTTTTTTTTGTTACATTTTAGTCCAAGGTTTATAGAAAGCTTCATCTCTCCTTTATGTGTGTGGATCGTTTCCGAGAGCTACCAGCGACAATAGCAAATTGCTTTTGTTTTTCAAAAATTCAATTCCGAGTAACGAGTAATAAGCATCGCTTTGTGCTGCTTCGCGCTATTCGAAAGCGGCCATTTTGAAAAAGCATACGGCCTGAAATGCCAATGTATGCGTTACGAACATTGAGATTATTCTACATTCACGTGTTCGAGCTTTCATCAACGGCCGGGGTTATTGTTGCGTAACCGATCTTTTAAAGTCATTATGAAATCATAAATGAATTTATTTCGGAACTTCTATGGATTTTATTTGCTTTCTTCAATTTTTTTTTTTTTACCTTTCAATTTACCGAATTCCTTGGTAATTTCACAATCTATCCCCGTTGGTTGGTTGGTAATCAAAATTAACATATACATACTTATGCATATATATAATGAATAACTTAAAAAAAAGTTAAAATTTAGTTAAGGAGATTACTTAACATTCAGATTTCTTAAGAGGGCAAAAATCTTTGAAAGATCTTGCCCTAATCTTCCTCTATTTATAGTGGCGCTTGATTTGACAAAGTGTGTCAATTCTCTTTTCATCTTCTTTCTATTATTCCGATTTTTCTCAATAGTTAAGACAATTTTTTGCAATTGCAAGGCATATTTTTCAGGACAACAACAACAACAGCAGCAGCAATCTCTGGACAAAGAAAGTTAAACGGAAGACCAATTTTGAGTAAAACTTTAATTAGTCATCAGAAATCATATATATATATAGCAACGTTAGTCGTTATTTACTTAATTTGATGATATGTACGAAATAAATCGCTTGCAGCAAACTGATCCCTAATCAATTATCATAATTTAACTTGTCCGAAAGTAGTAAGATTTTAAGTGAATTAAGGTAATTACTTAGGCCATGTCAGCATATGTGACTTATATGCTTTTCTCTGTTGATAAATAAGCGAAACATTTCCTTCCCTATGAACTCTAATTTACTTATATCTAATCTTTAACTATAGATTAGAAATAAGTCATCACAATTCATTGACAACAACAAGAAGAAAAAGAAGAAGAAGAAAAAGAAGAACAAAAACAACAACAACAACAAGAACAAGAACAACTCAAAATGATAATAACATAAAAAGCTCAAGTAGCAGTACCGGTAACGGTGCGATGCACACATGCAAGCAAAAATTATATCTGAACATGAACAGAATGCAACCAAAGGCCGAATTTAAAGCATTGCGAAGTCAAAACCAACAAATGTTGATGAATCGTAGAGAAGAAAGTGGGGGGGGGAAGGCGAGCAGCATAACTTTCCAATTACGCTCATAATATCTATTTTAAGTTTAGTTTTAAGATTAGTTTTTCTGTTCTGAGATAAAGAGAGAGAGAAAGAGAGAAAGAGAGAAAGAAAGAGTGATAGAGAACGCACGCAGGGAGAGTTTGTGAGTGCGTAAAATTGCAGTCAGAAGGGGTGTTTTTTGTCCAATCTTGCATGCGTGTGCGTACGTGAGCGCGAGTGAATGTTCGCGTGTACATTAACTCGGGCAAGCATGTATATGTTTAAATCTAAGCTGCGGCTTAGTCATCAGTTCTGGCTAAATAGGACAAGCGAAGGTAAAACTTTTTCATTCTTTTTCACAATGTTTTGCTATTCCTAATCCAGCAATCCAATGAAAAGTGGAAGTAAGTTATCGATAGACTTACTTTCGTTGTAATACGCTTACACGTCTTCATAGTAAATAGATGTGTACGGTACAATGGACAATGTATGTAGTAGATACAGTCTTTCAATAGCAAATACTGTCACTTTCAAGCCATGATTGCAATGTGCTGCACGCCAGATCACATTTCCTCTGACCATTAATTTTAGATCGAAAAAATATCAATCAATATCGGTCGGTAACGTATCCACGTTAATCCGCGCAAGAAAACCGTTTTTGGCGAAAGTATGACGCATTTACACCAAGGTTTAAAAGACGATACCAAATTGTGTCTCATTGTGGTCGGAGAGATTATTCGACTAGTTACCTTCGGTTTACGGAGCTTCAAATGCGATAGCCTTCTAGTCTATGTATCCAAAAAAAAAAAAAAAATAAAAATAAAAAATAAAAAATAAAATAAAAGAACCACTTAGTCTTTTGTTTACCGTATCGCGAATGCAATCGTAATGCAAATCGGAATACGTTAAGAGGCAGTATATTATGTCCATAGAAGATGCCTATGTTCACTGTTAGCTTGGTTTTAATTCTGGTCTCTTTCTTATCTCAAGAAATATAAATTTTTGTACTTTTGTATTGCTTCCAACAATTTTATAAGCTTTTCTTTTCTATCGTGCTTATATATATACACACACACACACACACACACACATACAAACACACATTTACAGTCAAGAAAAAAAGAAAAAAGCAGTTATAATCTGTAAGCGAGTGGTATAGTTGTGTGATGGTAGTGTTAACGGCAGTGGTGGTGGCAGTGGTGGTGACAGTCTCGTTGTTGATGTATCTGAGTTCTTCTTCTTTTTCTTCATACGCTTATAACGTCAGGTGAATTCTTTCTTTGTCTATGTTTACTGACTGATAAACGCCGTTTGAGCTTTTGTTATTTCAATTATTGTTATTGTATGTGCATATATATATATATATGTTTAGATATCATAACAATTTTCGATGATAACAATA